CAAAATTGGAGGAATTTTAATATAACCCCCCCGAATTTCTCTAAAATTAAAAATAAATCATACCAGGATATTTCCGCAAAACTTTTATACAAATTGAGTGGTCAATCGATTTTTTGTAACGTTTGCGCCCTTCCCTGAACCTTGGGTTCAAAGTTGGAAAAAAGTTTCACTTTAGTGTGACCCATCAATTTGTATTGAAATTTTACTGAGAGTCATGTGATGCAGTTTATTTTTAGTTTAAACGATTAAATAACAAGAAAAACCGAAAAACACCATAAATAATGTGATATTATTGTAATTTCACGTGTTTATTACGTCTTTTATTATTTATTCAAACCGATTAAAATTTTTATCATTTAAACTGTTATAAAATTATAAATTTTTTTATTTTTAGGCCGGGAAAATAAAACAATCACGATATTGAAATGAATATTTTAAACTTTATTACATTAGGATATTTAGAAATAATTATTTTGATGTAATCGGCACACTACTCTTTCCCGAAATTAATCAATAATGAGAATATGGTACATCACTGAGCTCGTTAATATTTATTTAAATATTCGAATAATTTTGTTCACTATTGAATAGTCACTAATGAAGTTGCAATAATATTAAATTACTTTTAAAATATACGTAGCTTCCTTTTTTATGCAATAAAAATGCATAAATTGCAGTAAAAACGAATAACCTATAATAAACAAATAACCTGTATTATAAAACATTTTTAATGTGCGTCACTAGCATAAAAATGTAATTTCATTTTACACTTTTTCATTTACAAAACCACCCGCTCTTTATGCATTTATTTTACGTTTTTGTTATAAAAATTCAAGTAAACTAATCTTATAAACTATAAAATGAAGCTATATTACATAAAAATAATTATTTCATATTATCCTATTATAATAAAGTTTAAAATATTCATTTCAATATCGTGATTGTTTTATTTTTCCGGCCTAAAAAGAAAAAATTATAATTTTATAACAGTTTTNTTATTTTTCCGGCCTAAAAAGAAAAATTTATAATTTTATAACAGTTTTAATGATAAAAATTTTAATCGGTTTGAATAAATAATAAAAGACGTAATAAACACGTGAAATTACAATAATATCACATTATTTATGGTGTTTTTCGGTTTTTCTTGTTATTTAATCATTTAAACTAAAAATAAACTGCATCACATGACTCTCAGTAAAATTTCAATACAAATTGATGGGTCACACTAAAGTGAAACTTTTTTCCAACTTTGAACCCAAGGTTCAGGGAAGGGCGCAAACGTTACAAAAAATCGATTGACCACTCAATTTGTATAAAAGTTTTGCGGAAATATCCTGGTATGATTTATTTTTAATTTTAGAGAAATTCGGGGGGGTTATATTAAAATACCTCCAATTTTGGAAAAAAAAACGAGGTCCTATTTTACACTCCATCAGTATACTCGCTCATATATTACTATGGTTTGAAAGATTTACACCCTCTATCATCTTAGTATTAGTTTGTTTTATTGTCGTATATAGTAGTACGACACTAAAAAATATATGTATTTATTTCCATTACTTATTATTTTAAATGGGGGGTTCCGTGAAATGCAACGATTTATAACGTTGCAAAATAGTATGTCCTAAGGTATTTGCTAATAATTGTTATTCTCAAAAAGTACCTACTACTTTTAGTACAAACATGAGTGTTTGGAACAAATTAGAATTTAATAAAAAAAAAACACATTTTTCGTAAAGAACACAATTAATGTCTCTTAACATGTGATAACTTCACTTAACTTTAAACTGATGTTGGTTATTGTAAAATTAATCTATTGATTTTTTTATAAAATTAAAAATTTTTAATCAAAAAGTCATGTTTAATTTCATTGCTAATTTTATAGTAATTTAAAAATAGTGTATAGTATTTGATAATGAATTTGAAAATTTATTATACATTCACTTAACTACTCATTTTGTTTTAGATACGATAGCACATTATTTTTTAAGAGAAGGTAATTTTTTATATTATTATCGCTATTATAGATACTATTTCTACTTTTGAGTAAGGTGTGCAAATGCGATATTTCGCCATAGCTATTTATAATTATCTGAAAATGTTGACACCAACTGTATTGAAATACATATTGTGGTATACTCACATGGGCATTTCAATATAGTATTTCCCTGACGCAAAATTGTCAGCACGTATTTATCCTGCACACAAATGTTGCAATTCTAAACAATTAAACACTATTTTATACTGAATTATTTATTTTTATAGATTACGATATGCTAACGAGGAATGATAGAGGTAATTACAATTAAAATAAAATATTGCTTATCACATAAATTTCAATTTATAAATGTTCAACAATTATATCCACCGCAAACCTAATCATAACACTACAATAATGTGTTTTAAGAATTAATGTTTTTATTTGACAATATAACATCAAATAAATATTTTATTAATCTCCGAGATGCTATTGGAAAAAATTAAAATGTAACGCGTGCTTGGTGGAAACTATAAGTTCCAATCAAATATTTCATCGAATTAAAAAATATTTTTAGATGATCAAGTAATAAAAGAATCAGATGAGAAATTAGATGCATACGATATGAAAGAAGAAAAAATTTTTAATGATTACGGTAATTTTGCAATTAAGTTTTTGATCATAATTATTAATATTTGATGGAAAACATACAATTTTAAAATTTTAAATACATCTATGTATTTATAATTGAGTGAATTTGTACTTCTATCACAAATATTTGTTTTAAAAAATAAAATTACACATAAAATTATCTAACTAATTATCTTTTTTAAAATTATTATAAATTTTTTTGTTAGCCGAATTGTGCAATACAGGTTAGTCAATACTGATTTATATATAATCTTGTTATTGTAATATGATATAGTTTTAAATTTAACGAATAAAATATTTAAAATTTTCAGATAGAACTTATGAAGCAAATGGTAAATATGAAAAATAAAAAGTGACATTAATTTTTAATTTAGCAAATCTCAAAGAATTACATAAAAATAAAAATAATATTATTTTATTTTGTTAGAGGCAACAGAATTAAAATTATACAAAAAGCTCTACCATAAATAATAAGCTATTATCATTTCTAGATTTGACAAAAGAATTAGGATACTGAATACGATTTTATAAATAGTTAACCAATAATGAAATATGAATTAGATATTGTTGTTAATTAACATTTTTACCTATNAAAAAAATGGTGGTGATGTGGATTTTACTATTGAATGTATAAATGCTTATATTGTACCAAAAGAAAATCTAAGGGTTGGTTCTTAGTCAGACTAAAGATATAATATAGCGTATGTATGGCCGAATAATAATAAAAATTATTAAATAAGATAATAAATGGCGGAGTAACACATGTTTAAATGTGGCAAGATATGTAAGGGTGCAAAGGGTATAATGATACNGATATGTAAGGATGCAAAGGGTATAATGATATGAATAAAGAAGAATTCAGAGGAGTGAATAAACGGAATTTAAATACATTAGGGTAATGATCAAATAAATAAAAATGTACACAAACGTTGTGACAAAAATAATGAACTGATCTCGGGGTTGAACAATATTGAATAAATGAAGTCAATTATCCTACAAAACTTTATTACCTATCTTAATGGTTTATTACGCAATAGAATATTTATAATTTGAAAGCGGAAATTTAAATTTGTACTTACCTTGTATCCCATGTAATGAAATGCTTATTTTAGACAATGCAATGTTGATTATGAGTTCACACTATATTTCACACGTTGTACACTTTGAGTTCGACAGTAAATATGACCGTTTGAGAATAAAGCGTTTAATTATAAATTATGCGAAACCGTTACACAAAATCTATTACTGTATTATTATATGCAAGAGATTCTATACACTCTATATTTTTTTATAATTATAATCAAATAATGTATTTTTAGNAGTAGAATGAGTATATTGTTTGAGAGATTATATTTTATTGAGAGATCGACACCAATATTTCTTAAATTTTCCTCTGGCCTGGCCAAAACAAGATTCAGAAATATTTATATCTATGTAAAAGATTTGTCAGGGCGGAATTGTGGTAGCCCAATGTGTCCGTGTGCTAAAATAAAGCACCTTGAAAGGATGCGGCACAATAATCACCAAGACAAAAATTAAACACAAAAACATATATTTGTAAATTTCTCTGTGCTGTCTGCCGGCGCGATGTTCGTTAAAACAAAGACATTAAACCACAGAAGATTAGCTACCCAATACACATAGGCTTACAAATATATTCTAACCTAATACACCTAACTTTAAAAATCTTTAATTGCAACCTTTACTCTGTCTGCCGGCGCAATGTTCGTTAGAACAAAGACATTAAACCACAAAAGATTAGCTACCCAATAAATATAGAGTTGCAATACACTTAGTCATATATAATAAATATTTATTTACCATTAACTGAGAAAATTAGAATTGGTTCGGGTTTATTATAAAAATAATTTTTTTTTAAAAAAAGATGTTTGAGGTTTAACATATCAATTGACATTTATTTCCATGATAAAATAAAACATTATTATTTAATGAACAAATTATATTAAATTAAATGATTCACCAAAACAAAATTCACATTAAAATCTCCAAGTGTCTTTTAGTTTTAAAGAAAAATATTCTAAGTCCAAATAAATTAAAAAATCAACTAAGTCCCAGAGAGTAAGAATCTTGAGTAGAGTGTCGCAGATTTTGTGTATGTTAAAATCGCCGAAAGAACTGATTTTAATAGGAAAAAATGGGTTTTTATAGTAGAAGAGGGTCGTGTAGCGATCCCTAGTGTGATCTCAGAAACTGTAGATCTTAATTAATAGTTAAATGTGATTGGCTGTAGCTAATTATAAACCCACACATAGGCGTGACTTTGAATCTATACGATAATCAGATTTAATTGCCTAATTTATTGATTATTTTAAGTTTTAAATAAGGGAACCCTGTTTTGGTGATCTTGTAAATTCACAATATATGACATACATGTATAAAAGATAACATAATATAATATTTTAATATTATAAGTAATAATATAATATTACAGTTGTTATTATTTTTAATAGTCCATCATGTTGTTATAGTAAAAATAAAACATGGCTAAACATCACCCCCGTTCCTTACCATTTCTAAATCTTCAAATATTAATATTTTGACCTGTCAACATTTTATTTATACTATTATCTATTTAACAGTTAAATTATAATAATAGGTTCTTATTTATCCTTCGAAAGTTAATTCTAAAATCAGTCTCTTGCTAATATGCAGTAGTATGCTTAATAAATCAACCTCAAAAGGGGGATATCATATTGAATTAGATTTTCAGACCTAAGAAATATTTTATTTTTGAAAAAATGGTAATGAACCATTACTAATGGTGATTTATTTTCCGAGATATATTCTAGATATTTTTTTGTTTTGCTCCCTTTTTATTTTAGACATTAATCTTCTAAAACAATGAATCTTAGTAATATATTCAGCAGAACTCTTTGAGCCAAAATCGTGCAATTATTATTTTAAATATTATATATTCATTTATTTATAATACTTTTAGCAGAATATAACGGAGAAGCTTACATCCGGATGAAAGTCATGCATCAAATATTTAAAAATTACCTATCATACAAAATTGGTAAGTTTTGTAGCTATTAATGTTTATAAGTAAATTTTTTTTTCATTCGTGTATAGANAATAAGTGAAATCAAAACTAATTTAAGTATAATTTTTTTATTACTAAAATTGATTTTGCGTAAATGTGTTAATGTTAATGTGTGTTCAGTTATGTGCAGACGTTTCGAACTGATTGCAGAGTTCATCTTCGGAACGACAGTTACCGAAACACCAGCACTAAACTTGAAATCATAAATATAACTTTAAATATACTAAATAATAAATTTTATGGTTTTAGATATGAGTTCTAGTCTCATGTGCCAAAACAATGAGAATAAGTTATGTAAAATAATTGCGTTGCTTACATCTACTCATGAATCAGTGCGAATTTTTGAATTCCAACCCAGTTGTATTAACGGTCAATGTCATATCTCTACATACAATATACAAGATTCTCAAAAAATTCTATTTGGAGTTGTCCCAACAATTTTCGTACAGTTAGAAGACAAAATAATCCAAGCCGACCCGAGTTCACAAATCAACCCTGGACCATATAATTTTATTACAAATGAATAAAAATTTAATTTTTAAAAATTATAAGTACTATTTTGTTTTATGTATTAATCGAAATGTCGAAAATATATATATTAATGCAAAAATAATAATTAAATCTCTATGATATTTACTTTTAAATAAATATGTAACATTAAATAAATTTATTGATTTAATTTAATTTAAGCATCGATGTATAGTAGAGATAGTATTAATTCTACTATGAGTCATGGTAGAACAATTACCATCAAAATCTAATTAAATATTTCGATTTTTATCTAGATAAAAATAAAATTATCATTTTTATTTTTTATCTTAGCTAAATGATTTTATAAATGGTTATCTAAAAGTCATCTAAGAGTAGTTTTTTTGAATTAACCCTTTAGCAGGCGCGTGACTATTTTTAACGTTCATAGTCCCGTGGGGGTCATTCTGACCCCATTTCTAAAAAAGTATAAAATATGTATAAAAAAGTTAATTTTTTTAATTCAAAAACATTATTTGTTACCATATGATGTAAAAATATGGACGAAAATTAAAAAATAATTAAATTAAAAAATTATGATCATTTCTAAAAATTATATTGCGAAAAAAAAAACTTAATTTTCAAAATTTCATTAAAAAAATTTGGTTTGTAAAAACTTTATTTTAACTGAAAAATCTTATTTTTATGACGGTAAACAAAAGCTTTTACTATTACAAAATGTATTTTAATTAATTTTTCTTGTATTTCTTTGAGCTCAAACATGGTTTATATTTATTAGTTTTAAATGTATCTACATTTATATAATAATTTTTCTGAATTGAATTTTTTTATTATTAATATTACAATACATTTAATTATTATGATACAAGTATATACACTTATTCGTTCGTAGTAGTATATCGATTACCGATAATCAATGTGTCCACATTTCGACGCGATGAATTTAAAACATGTTTTGTTCTTATTTGTTCCGTATCATGGAGTATGGAAATTCTAAATAGATTATTTATTTTTAAAGTTTAATTGTCCAGTCGGTGGAAGATTCACATAATTCCTATTCCGCAATATTATATCGATTATAACATTGCATTTACGATAAAACGATATTTTGAAAAAAATACAAGTGCAAAAAAAATTATAACGTTACAAGTCACGTCGGGTTAAATATTTCAATTTTGATGGATATATTAAGTCATACATTTTTTTTTTGAAGGTATTTATAAAAATTGATTCAATATTACTATGAAAACCATCTTCTAAATTTATATCTATGTACACCTTTTATGCAATATAATACACCCGTTTTAGCTTCGATGCGAAGCTAAGAAGGTATTAATTTTACTATGTGTTTTTTTTTTTTGTGTTTGTATACGCTTAATCTCAGTTCTCGCTGAACCGATTTTAATGATAAATATGTAAAAAGATCACAAATTGTATCTAGTCGAATACATTACCCTCAAAATTTGAAAAAAAAGTCGATCTTTCCCCTTAAACGGGGGAAATCCCCCAAAAATTAGAAATTTAAAAATCGCTAATTTTCGATATTTTTTCAATTTTTTTTAGTTAAAATTGCCTTTTGCTAAATTTGCCTAAAAACTTTTTTAAAAATTACCTCATCAATATAATTATTTTTTTTTGTAGATACCTTAGGTATTCACCTATCATATTATATATTTTTGTGAACATTTTTTACAAAAAATTAACTTTTGAAAATGTTCTGGAAAGACTGACACTTTTATATATACCTTAAATTAAAACTAATGTAATATACTTTAATTTAAAAAAAAATTGACCTCTGGATTTGTCTTCATGGTAAAAATGACTACCGTATTCAAAAATATGCTATTTTTGTGAAAAAATTCTTGATATTATATTTTACATTTTTTAATATTATGTTGCTATAACTTTTTAAAGAATGCAAGAATCAACTTTATTCTTTAATGATAAATACTTTATATATACTTCTTTCATTCGACATATTTTTTTTTAAATCGGACCATTTCCCTTTATTTTTTTTTTTATTTTTATTTTTATTTTAAACGGACGTTAGTCCAATAGCAATTTACATGGGTGTAAAANTTTATTTTAAACGGACGTTAGTCCAATAACAATTTACATGGGTGTAAAGTAAGATACAAGAATAAAAAACAATTTTATATAAATGCGAAAAAGTATACAGTATTATGAAACAAACTATTATAATATAAATGAATATAAAAACTCAGAAAAGTTCACTAAAAATACAAAAAAATCATATAAAAAAATCAAACAAATATATATTACCAGCTGTCATCAAAAGGTTTGCAGGGGAATTTAAAATGTAATTTTTTTTTGAGAATTGAGGATAAAAAGGTTTAGGATTTCTAGTATTAATATTATTTATTTTTAAGTTAATTAATGATAGGAGTTCCGGACAATCAATGAGTCCTAATAATAATTTATGTAAAAATTTTGAAATCAAAAGCATTCGACGTTCTTTGAGTGTATTAAAATTAAGGTAATTAAGAATGCTGTCATAAGAGCTATGGGGAGGTCTGTGTATGTTAAATTTAAATGAAATAAAACGGAGAAAATTATTTTGAACAGATTCTAGTGCGGTGTTTTGTTTAGAAGTATTGTTTAACCAAATTAGAGGACAGTATTCAAGATGGGAACGTACAAGGGAATAAAACAGAATTTTTAGAGGAACAGGATCTATAAATGAGCCACAAGTGCGTTTAATAAATCCCAAATTACGCATAGCTTTATTTCTTATCATTTCTGTGTAAGGGGAGAAATTTAATTTAGAATCAAAAATAACGCCTAAATCTTTAAATTGAGAAACTAGCTCGATATTTATATTGGAAACAGAATAACAATAATTAATTGGGTTTTTTATTAGATAAAAGTGCATAAATTTACATTTATCCACATTTAAAAATAAGTGATTTTTATTACACCATGTGAGTAAGTTATTAATATCTGATTGTAAACAAATTGCATCTTGTTCAGATTTAATTATTTTTATTAATTTAGCATCATCAGCAAACATAAGGATATTAGAGTTCATTATAACATTAGGCATGTCATTAATAAAAATATTGAATAGAAGTTTAGACAGGTGGTCTCCTTGAGGAACGCCTGAAGGGACTGGGAAAAGTGACGATTTGAATTTGAGGTATTTAACAATTTGGGAACGGTCTGAAAGAAAAGATTGGAACCATTTAAGAAGTGATCCAGAGAAACCAAAAGATTGTAATTTTTTAATAAGTAATACATGATTAACTTGGTCGAAGGCTTTGGAAAAATCAGTGTATATTATATCAGTTTGAGCATTAGATTCAAATGACTGAAGTATTAAGTTTTTTGTTATGGCTAAATTATTACATGTTGAGCGTTTTGGTATAAAACCGAATTGATTATTTACTAGGACTGAGGAGCAAAAATTGTTAAGTTTAGATGAAATTAAGTGAGAGAATAACTTTGGGATTGATGATAATTTTGAGATTGGGCGATAATTTGAAATTAGTGAAGGATTACCCTTTTTTAAAATAGGTGAAATAAACGACGTTTTCCAAAAAGATGGATAGGTACCACTAGCGAGGGATAAATTAAAAATACTAGTTAATATCGGTGTTAGGATAAATCTACAATTATAAAGGAAAATAGTAGGTATCTCATCTGGGCCTGCAGTTGAACTTAATTTTAGGTCAGAAATCATATTAAAAACCTCTAGTTCAGTAACAGTAATGGAATTTAAATTTAAAGTAGAATTTAAATTAGGGTTATCTACATTTAAAGAGGGGGAATTAAATGTTTGAGATGAATTACAATAGGCATCAGAGAAGTATTTACTAAAAAGCTCAACGATATCAGCACCATTTTCGGCAACTGATCCATTTAAGGAAAGAGAGCAAGGTAGAGCATCATTATTGGTTAAATAATTAATAAATTTCCAAAAATATTTTGGATTCTGTTTAATCGAAAACTGGACTTTATTTATGTAGTTTTTGTGATCTAATTTAGCATTTCTTTTGCATTTAGCTCTAAGACGGGAGAAATTAATATAATCTGACATTTTGTTAGATTGTTTATAAACAAGGTGAGCAATTTTTTTTTCTTTTACTAATAATTTAAGCGAATTGGAGTACCAAAAAGGATATGAATTATTATATATACGTTTTATAGGGACATAATTATTGATTGCTTCGTACAAAATATGGTAAAACTGAACAACTGTTTCATTTATATTATAGGATTTTAAATCAATAGTGGAGAGTGAATCACCAATAAATTTAACAATTTTGATGTAATCACAATTATTAAAATCATAAATTAAATCATGTGTAGTTTTTAAGATTTCATATTGTTCAAAATTTAGTGATATATTAAGAGCCGGGTGGTGTTTATCAATCGGAATTAACGGATCAGGGTCATTATCGACGGTTATGTAAGCATTAGATAAGACTAGATCAAGAATGACATTGCTGTGATTGCGTATAAAATTAAATTGATTAAAATTATAGTGTGATAGCATGCTAACAAAATAAGAATCGATTTGAGAATTACAAATTAATGGTAAAGAATAAAATGACCAATCTAATAAGGGTAAATTAAAATCACCTAATAATATAAATTTGGCTTTAGGATTAGATAAGTAAAGTTCATTAATAGATAGGAAAAATTGTTCATAAAGAGTAAGAGGTGAATTGGGCGGGATATAAATACAGCAAATAATAAATATATTAGCTCCTAGTTGAACTTGAATAAAAATCTGCTCAATACATTTAACAGTAACATTTAAAATTTTACAAATTATATGAGATTTAACAGCAATAAGTACTCCACCACCCTTAGATAAATTACTTGTGAGAACATTTCTGTCACATCGAAAAACATTATAATTTTTAAAGCCTAATTCCGAAGAATTTACATTATTTGTAAGCCATGTTTCAGTAAAGGTAACTGGTAAGTCTCATAAATGTAAAGAATATAAACAAAAATTATATTTGTCTTATCTTTTAATATTAAATTTACCATTATACATACTTATACACTATAATACTGTTATTTTATATGTATTCTATCATTTTTAGCTTCGATGCGAAGCTGAGAGGTATCAATTTTACAACGATGTGTTTTTTTTATTTTTTTTTTTTTGTGTCTGTGAACGCTCAATCTCAACTATCGC